CCCCCCCCCCCCCCTTTTTTTCTTAACCAAGAAGCTGAAGACCTTTTCCAGAATTTTACATCATGAAACTGAAACAGCTTCCTTTAATCACAGAATCCATGGGAACCAGCTAGGGTGGAGCAGGCAGTCCTGAACTCTGGAAGACCAGACTATCTAGCTCAATGTGAGGTTTAAAAGCTTCTACATTTTTCAGGCACAGAGTCAAATCCAAATGTGCAGAACCCAGAACTTCCCAACTCCTGAAAATATAGCCTTAGAGTAACCCCAAAAGACAGCATGAAAGCCCACCTCCAGCTCCTTAGCAGCAAATTCAGTCAGGTGAGAACCAGTCAGCAGAAAAGCAGGTAGTTGTTTTTGTTTGCCTCTTTTAATTTACCTGTGTTCTGGCAGAAACATTCCAGCAAATTCTAGTTTGCTGACCAAATGCTCATCAGCTGGAAAATTTCCAAACACAGCAGCTGCATGGCACGCTCTCTTCACAGCAGTGAGGACGCAGCTTAAATGCGGAGTAGGAAAAGCATAAACAGTCCCCTCTAAACTAATAAACTAATTAAAAACTCCTGCTCAATCCTGCTACCTTTGAAAGGCAGAGTAGAGTGTCATGAGAAATCTGGTCCACTGCTGTCAAAGCTTTGTCTTAAAACACTCACCTCTGGCCTCAGAACAGCCTTCTTGCAGGCCTGGCACACAGGGCCATTCCTGGAAAAACTCAGGGGAAGTCGACGGGTACGATTCTGGCAAGTTGGCTCCTCACATACTAACCAGCCCTGCACAAATGGGGAACACAGAACAACAGACATTTTTACCATAAATTTGAGTTATAGCTAAACAATGAATCACACTCAAAAAAAAGAAAGGAAGAAAAAAACCCTCAACTTTACCATCGTCTGTGAAGCTGATACTATAATACGTGCTGCTAAGATCCAAAAGTCAGGTATAAGGAGGAGATGGTCCTTGTTTAAGGTAACACAGTCAGTGGGGGAGAACAAAGCTGAAGTCGTCTTGCTTCGAAATTCCATATTCTCCACACCGCAGTCATGTTTTCCTTGAAATACACTTAAACCTCTGCTCTTCTCCAGTTCAGACAATGTTAACATGTAACAGAATTACTTTATGAAACTATGTAGACCAGACAGCAAGACACCCCAGAGACCCCTAACAAATTAAATTTTAAAGTAAAGTGCCATTTCCTTGCTTGCACTTTAGAGGGGAAAACCAGTTTTAACTTTCAGGTTTTCTGATGACAGCTAGCAGCCCTCTTTTGTATACATTTTTTTAACAGGAAGCAATTGAGACTTCAGCGTAAGCGGAAAAAGTAACATTTTGCTGAGTTAAAATGAAATAAAATCTGAGCCAGATTGCTCTGAGGCAGCTCAAGCAGACAACGGAGAAGGCTTCTCTTAGGAGTACGGAAAAAAAGAATACTTCTAGAGCTGGTAAAGATGTAATGCCTTCTGTACCAGGTCCAACCATAGCTTAAACCAATGCTGCACCTCACCCCTAAAAACCACCAATAGCAGATACCTAAAGAATACCATGAGAAAAAGAACACAGTATAACAAAAAGCCCACAGTAAAAACTTTCCAGATTTTTCCAGCTTTTTGAAATAGCTCAGGATCCTCCTTAAGCAGTGTCTTGACATTCAGTGGTGATGGATACATCACTGCGCCCATCTCAACATCAAGTGCCTTTCGAACCAATGCAAAATTTTAGCATCTGCAACTTCCTGCACAACTACAGACTGCATGAAAAAGTATCTTATTTTTCTTATTTTTCACACACAGAAAAAGAAGGATTTTCTTTTTTAATGACTTTAGTTTTTGTATCAGGAGAGACTAGGAATAATCATTCTGCATTCACATGATCCATGCCACTCATGATTTTACAGACCTCCAACACATTCCCTGCAATCAACCTCTCTTCCAAACCACAGCCTAAATTTACTCAGTTGTTCCTTGCATGGAAAATACTCCACATCTTCATTGCCCTTCTCTGAATCTCTTCCAGGTTCTTTTTGAAATGAAGGGATGGTGAAAAATGGGACAAAGGAGAAGGGAGATGAAACCAGCATTGCATACTGTACTCGGGATGCTAGATGAATATGATTTTATACCATCTTATTTACAAAAAAAAAAAAAAAAGAGCAGAGAACAAGATGGTAAGTACCACCCTTTCTTTTCCTCAAGTCCTGTTGGCCTGGAACACTACTGAGCATTTGAGCACTGAGCAGTCTTTTCCAAAAAGATATTTATTATTATCCAAGAACTGTAATTTCATTCTTCAGTAGCCAATACACACATTGTGCAAAATTAAGATTGCGTTTTTAGCATCTGCATCACTTAACGTTACTTGGCAGAGGATTTAATCTTCCATTGTTAACTGACAAGTCAACTTGCTATCACAAAGTCTTCCTACAACCCTTCTCAAACAGCTCCCTGAGCAGCTTAGCACTGTCAAACTCTGCATTTCAGGTTATCAGCTGTTGATGTTTCTGCCGGCAATAGCAACTGTTTATTTTTGCCTCTGTTTCCAAAATGTGTTTCTGTTGCTCCTGCAAAGAAGTTGAATCTAACTATACCAGGATTCCTGGTGCTTTGGTAGAAATATTACAAACCAGAAGACAACTTAAAAACTTGCTTGCTTCCCTTCTCACAGGCTCTTTAACAAACCTGCCTCAGCATCACACTCTGGCAATGAGTTATGCCTAATCTTGGTGATGGCAACTCAGGTTTCCAGTTATTATCATGTTTCCTACCCTTCCAGTTTTCCACTACTGCCACTGTCACCATCTTGGTTGGGAAGTTAATAACAAAAGCTTGCGACTATATACCTTTCCTGGCTTTCATTTCCTGGAGATTCCAGTTTGCTGGCAAAGCAAATTTGTTAGCAACAACTTTAGTTTTCTTTCCTCACTGGCATGGCCAAAACTGAATCTCTTTTGTACCTGTCCAGTGTCCTGACTCAGTATGATTATGTTAGTAGTGTGGTTTAAAGTTAAATATTTGAGTTACTTCATTTCTAATGTTTTGGAACTTGTGTGGAAGAAGATGTAAACTTAGTTTTCCGTCTCCCAAAATCCTGTTAAAATGGCACTTGACTATGTCTACTCTTAAACATTTTAAGGTGGGGTTGGGTTTTTTTGGCTGGTTATCCCCCTCCATTATTTAGTGGAGTTTGCAGAGACTTGTTTGGTTTTGAAGTTTGTCATCTAAACGATCAGATAACCTGAACACTGTATTCTTTCATGTTTGTCAGCTTTATCCCTTTCTTCAACTTATAAATGTATTCTGCTACAACCTCTTCAAGAGTGCTAGAAGTCTGATTCAGGTTTTCTGTTGGTCCTGGTTTTTTTTTTTTTTAAAGATGAAACTTCAAATCTTTTCCAAAACACTTCATCTATTCCAGAGGCCTCTCTTCTTTCACCATTTCTCCTCAGTGTTATCCCACTGGGTGCCAAGCCCATCAAAACACTCCTGTTGCTCTTGCAGAGAGGAGCTTTTATGCCCATGTGGGCAGACCAGAAAAACTTCACATGGAACTTCAAGCCAAGAGGAGGGTATACAGCACTACCTAAGATGTGTGCTCAAGTCCATAGTGCAGAAATGGAAAGAGCGTGTTAAGATATGCAGTTAGGGTTCATTTCACGCTGCTCTGGATATCTAAGAGCCTGATACCTAGTCTAAGATAGTCACCCCATGACCTGTTTATAGTAAATGGGGGAAGGAAAAAGCAACTCCAAAAAGCAATTTACCCAACAGGTTTTGGGATGCGGCAAACTCTGCTCTAGGGCTCTAGCAAGCTTTTTGACGACAGCATGAGGAGTGTATTTGATCGCTATGTTTGTGTTTTACTGTTATGCCTTTTAACAATGTAAATCATTACAGATTTAATAGGGTGAGAAAATTCCAAGAATTCAGAAATCTGCTGTGGATTTAATTTTGGTCTGTGGCACGAATGTTGCCCTAGCAGTCCTAGTACCACTCTCCCTGTCACATACAAATTATTTATGACAAATATTTTGCAAGTGACAGTAGAAAGATAGGCACTCAAGACTGAGCTACTTTATCATTAGATGCTTCACCACAAGAAGTCCTAACTTAGGACCTGACCTAACAGAGACACCTGACCTGTGTCTTCTGACATTTGCAGACACAAATGAGCATCTAGTCCTTAGCTTTGCTTTTGTATATAGATGTAAGATTCAGTTCTAAAAGAGGAAGGTGCCTCACATTTTTCAAATAACTCAGTTTTAATAAACATGGAATAACTTACTACCGAGAAAAGCTACTCAAGGAAGAAATTGAGATCTTCAGACACTCATGAGTATGGAGAATTTCATTAGAGTCATTGCGAGGGAGAATACAAAACCATTTCTGGAAAGGGTAATAAATTGTCACAGATCTTCCCTTAAGTTAATTCTTAGAGACAAAAGCTATGCTCTGTGTGGAAAGCTGCTTATGCCGTATTTGCCTATTATGTGGCATCTCTACCTTTCTATGAAACATCTGGTAGCAGTCTGACACAAACAGGGCCTTAAAATACACAGCCATGCAGGGGGAGGTGTGGAAGGTGTCCTCACTCATTCCAAAACCCTCCTGTTTAAGAGCGTAATTGTTTCAGCTGTAACTATGAAAAGACACAAAGAGGACACTCATGACTCAAAACATATTAAATGACTACATTTGAACTTTAAACCATTATACTAGAAAAACAAAGCATGGAAACTGCCAGATAGTAAGGTATTTAGTTAGGGAATGCAAGTGCAACTGAAAAAACAAACCCTGGAATGGGAGCAGCATCGCGACTTCAGCTGAGCAGAATGCTCAAAAATAGACAACCATGAAAATAACGCATGATAAAAGTCACAGTGTGTTTTCTGCCACCTATTGGCATTTTTAGCTAACAAAGGACAAGGACCACTTGCAAGATACTGCTTATATTGTCTTGTAAGGGAATGCATAGATGGTCCACTCAAACTACCTCTGAATAATGATATCTGAAGCAAGTTTCTTCATGCAACTGGTTTGGTCTAATGAAGTCACTGTTGAAGAAAATGCTGGGGACTTTGCTGGCCACAAAACACAGGTGAAAAAATATTGGAAAACCCCATTTAAACTAAAAACAATAGCTGAGGATAAAAATAAGCATTCAAAGTCAACAGCTTACTATTATACTTGTTTCCAACTACTATGAAACAATGATCAAAACGTAACTTTCACTGAACAGTAAGTTTCTCAGTAGATCTCCATTTAAAAAATATGGTTGTTGCCTACAATAAAAAAAACCCCAAATGTGCTAGGTAGATACTAAGTAAATATCTCTTCAATTCACATAGAAAACAGTTAATATCATTTGGACAGACTTTCTACCAGTTATAATTAACACTAAAGAGGTCTTTTCTTCTTTGTCACCTCTCTATTCAGACCTTATTTGCGTTTGTTTGTACTTACTATCTGTTAATCTCTCTTAACAAATGACAACAATAACTGTTGCTATTATGCGTGGAAATTAAACATGTAGATAACTGTGAAGGGAGCTATTTTGGAAAAAAAACCAGTATCAGAAACATGTAGTCCTCTATGGCTCTTGTTTTGCTTTGATAATTAAGCCATAGCCTTGATTTGTTTTAAACGAAAAACCTTTCCATGGACATGTATGTTGCAATCAAATTCAATACGTGCATTAGGTTCTGATTCAATTTGTTCAAGTGCATTACCGTTAACCCTTATTTGATCCATGCCTGTCATCTTCACTGACCAAACAAAAC